TTGTTTCTTTTTCAATGGGGAAACGTGTTCTTTTTTATGTCTCAAGCTAAAACAGACTTCTTGCACTCAAATGTCACTTTCTAGTGCGAAGGCTCGTGCCACAAAACACAAAAATATGTTAAAACAGCGCTCATACGAATTAAAAAAAAAGGAAAAAGGTAAACAAACTATAGAGTAGCAGTGGCTTTCAGCGGGCATTCTGGGTCCAATAAAATACGAGCTTGAGCCACGGAACATTTCATAGCTGCAATTCCCTGATATTCCTTGGCTCACCCTATCTTCGATCCGGCTACATGCCCGAATATTGGCTGTTGCTTGTGTTGAGCGGACCAGGAAATTCCTGCGAACTACCATGGAACCCCAAAGCTTGGCAGAGGCATTGCTACCCTGGCCATCTGTGACCAAGGAAAATCAATAGACAGCAAGGGTACATCAAATACTGGCAGCGGTTCTGTTTACACTGGTCATCGACCAAGGAAATTGATTGGTCAACCAGGGAAGGCGTTCCCTGGCACTTCCGTGGCTTTTTGGAGCAAGGAAAGACTGTGAAACGCCAGGCTGGCATATAGACGTAAATGGCTGGGCAGTCGTGGCCAAGCTATCACAACTAAGTGCCAACCCTGGCCCCAGCTCAACCAAGCAAGTGTGCTACCTGGGAAATGACTGGCCCTTGAAAGCGAATAGAGGCGAAGCACCCGCTCGTGGCTCGTGTCTTGAGTCTCTCCACAACAGTAGTTGGCGGTACTTGTAAAAAACGCCTTTATCAAGGGGTTTTAGCAGGGACCCGGGGTTCATTCGCCCATCTGCATCCTACCGTCGTGCGGTTCGTAACCACATATACTGCGTAATGCACGGTAAAGACCCCGAGCTAACAGTTGTAAAGCACTTTTTATAATCTTCAACGGATAACAATATCGGCCTACGAAACTGCTTCTCTCTAAAACAATTAACGACTAATTTGAATGCGCTGTTACATTACATTTTTAATATGTGCTCGCGTGTTCGTTTTTTTTTTTTTTTTTTTGTCTACAACTTTGATTATGCGGATCTTACTTATGATGAAACAAACAATAGTTGTGGGACTTCTGGAAAAATATTATATAACTAAGAAAATTGCACGTGACTGAAGAAGACAAAAAAAAAACACACACATAGGCACACTTAATAAGTAATTGAAATAATAGTACTGAACATAATTGTGTTTTCAAAGGTTTGAGCGCACCGACAGCTATAAAAGTGAGTTCTATGCTTTGGGTGGTGCGCTTGTTCACTGGAAGTGTAGTTCAGGGCAGTATGCACGCACTTGTATGTTCCGCTTTGCTCGCACGATGAAAAAAAAATACTTTACTGGTAATGTATTTAGTGAAACAAAGCTTACCTTTCTGTATATGTGCATTGCCCTCAGTTTTCGCGTGATTACATGCTTGTTTATGATCATTGCTTTTGTTTCGTGCTCTTTAGTGCGCTACACTGTAAAAAAATTCCGTAAATAAAAGGATAGGTTCTCAGTAATCGCTAATGACAAGTGTCTGTAATCGTAATTAAGGAGAACTTGTCCGTTCGTTTGAAAAACAATCATCTGAACAATTTAGTAGCGAGCCTACGATAAGCTTAAATGCTTTCTATTAGACCTAGAACATCATACAATGCGTCCCCTATCTGCAAAAAAAAATAATTTAAAGTACTTTTAGAACGTTTTTGATAACTTTAGGCCATAGGTGGTGATAGCTACCGCCTAAAAACAAAGGATGCGGTGAACTCTAAGAAATAGGTGGCACTAGCTACCGCCTAAAAACAAAAGAAGATGCAGTGTTGGTCTAATAGCATCTTAGTATCACTTATTTATTTATCCATACCGTTCTCTGGTTTTCCGGGTTTTCCTGCTCGCGTTGGTTTTCTCGCGATCTCGCTTTGACGTCCTTGGTAATGAACCTCAAGGTAAAAAGGCCGATCTGTTGACGAAACGGTGAGTCCTCTGCGTGTAAATATTGGTTTTGTACGTGAAGTACGGGTCCATTTTTCTGAAACTCGCGTTCCCATAGGGGTGAAACAAAACCACGGAGTCTTGCAGCCGAGATGTTTCGTATTGGATGACGACGGTCGCACTTCGCAGTTTCCGTTCGCGTTTGACATTCTCAGGAAACCTGATTTAAGCCCTTGTGTTGTATTTCGTCGCGAGCCAGCTGATAGCGCGGCCCGTCACTCAGAGAGCTGAATAGAGCGCCTCTCGCGTATTCATGCCTACGGCTGACCTTGTGTAATGGCCAGCGGTCGTGGTGGATTGCATGGGTCTAAACACGTAATCGCAAGTAATAGGGTTGTGCTTCTCGAAAAAAATACGCGGACAAGGAGGTATACACGACGTCCGCCTGAAACGTCGTCTCCTTCCCTACCGAAAAAAAAAAACGGTATGAAATTTAACACGGTAAAATTCAAACTGGATTTTCGCACCGGGAATCTCACCGTAAAATATGCATACCGTGACCAAATCGTATTGCCAGCGCATACCGTATTCTGAACTGGGTTACTGCCTGCCGTACATTGAGCCGTGCTGTGTATACCGTGTGCAGCAACGAATTCGGTGCACGGTATGCTTGGCTTGATACTTGACACGGAAGTTATCCGTGTCAAGTATCGGCAGTGAAGTGATTACTGCGCCAATTGCGCCAAACTGCGACAAGGGGCTAACCCTGCTACATCCTGCTACATTTCGCCAAAATATGGGCAATCTGCGCCAAGCCTGCGCCAAAGGACCAATTGAGGTCGCCCTTAAAAACCGAAACTAAACCGAGTACTGTGTAATGGAGCAGGCGTGTGTTATGTGGCACAAGCGGCCGCCTGACACAAAGTACCGTGCATCAATTGTCCACTCGGTCTTGCGTGGTTTTTCCGGCGTCTCGCGTTTCGCGCTCTCGTCTTGTAAGTCTCGTTTCCCGTCTCTTTTTTATATTTTCAGCGATAGACGGGGATGTGTGCAGACACTCTGACGCTAGCGTGCCGCGTACCAGCCATGCCGTCGTGCTGTTGAACGAAACCGTGTTTTTGCCCGGCAGTAGTTACTTTTTTAGCTGAAGCAACGGCCGTGGGAAAGCTATATTTGGTCACTGCCTTTCAGTCACCGTGGTCGCACGACGTCCAATGTTGCTGTCCCCACATCACCGCAGATATGGTACTTTCTAAAGTGTAACGCAAGGACCGTCGCATGTTCATCAACATTCCTGTTCTTGTTTAAATTATACGTTACTACAAAAATCCATCTTTAATTCAAAGACTGCTCTGTCAAAGTATTGACTATCTAGATTTCTCTCGGTGGGCCCTCTTTCGAGAGGGACCTCGGTACGTGAAAAATCTGCCGTCAAAGAAAGTTGGTGAAGGGAAGTGAGCTAAAGCCAAGAAGGCAATGTCTGCACGCTGAACCCGCATAGCGTTTAGTGTTTAGCTTGTACCTTGTTTGCCGGCCTGGCAAGCACGCGCCACTAGACTGTTTTTGTAGCATGCTCGAAAGTTACATTTTGTGTACAATTTCAGGGATAAGTTAGCGACGGAACTGAGGGTTCCGGTTTCGATCGGACAACCGTTGTCTGCACTCGTGCGACGAAGCATGCCCAACAGCAAGCCTGCCGAAGTTTGCCTCACTTGCTTGCGAACATGATTGCGTGACTGAGGCACCAGCTGGGACGTTTGCGATTCATTGTTTTACATTTGCTTACTTTTGACGAAAATCTGGCACGTCGGGAACCAGTAAAACGGTGGCAAGCGGTTTTTCAAAATTGCTTGGCAATGCCTACAGCACTGTACACTTGTGGGATGTCTGAGCAGTAAAAACAGAAGCAGCGAGTTCCATCACAACATATCGCATCAGAACACACCACAACACAAAGTGCCCTTCGTTTGTACAGCACTTAAAATAAATAATTTCATTTTCCTAAAAATATCTGCTCCAATATCCACTTTTTCTGCTCCGAAACACTGTCTTGGCTGCTCCAAAAGTCGCTTTTGCTGCTCCAAAACACTGTTTTGGTTGCTCCAAAGGCCACATTGCTGCTCCAAAAAACTGTTTCGGTTGCTCCCAAACGTCCGCCAAAATGGCTTGGGCCATGCGGTTACTCTTCATCTTGGGTGGGCGTTCTTTCGGAACTTTACAGTATATATAATGTGATTATGCATTTAAAATTATTGCTTGCGTCTTAAATTTAAAAAAAAACGAAAAAAAAACGTTGGGTCTTTGATTTAGGGATTGCTTGGTCGTCGTTTTACTAATTATTTCCCCCAACCAGACAGACTTCCGTCTAATGTTTACATTGAAATCTAAAGTCTTATACCCTGCAGAGGTGCTGCCATTTTTTAATATCTTAAGTACTACAGGGAACTTACAATACTTGATCACCACTACCTGTGATTAATTACAAGAAAAGTAAACGGGATGGGAGCAACACCAGTCACCCGAATTATATAAGTTAACTTAATGGCTGTGATTGCCCTACCTACTACTGCCATCAGTTTTCTTTCTAGGAAAACCAGGTACCTACCATAGTATCCCAAGAGATGCCCCACGCCCGAAAGGTAACCCGCCCCTATTTTTTGTATGATTTGTTTGTTTGTTTTTTTTGTTTTTTTTTAGACACAGATAGCCCATTTTTACTAATTGCAGGTGCCTGGCCAGTGGTGACCTCGGCAGAAATTGTGCTACTTAACCATGGCAAGAGATATACGAATGTTGCTGAATGAAGACAGTCGTCTTTGGTTTATCTACCGTCTCTGTGATTACAAGTTTCGCAGGTCACAAAATCCAAAACTAGAATATTTTAAGCCTGTTTTTCATCACACACAGAAAGTGTGTCTACGCCTTATTTTCACCCGGTGTACTTTCAATTTTAGGTCGGCTATCTCTCGGGATATTACGGTACTGTCTATTCAAGGAATCATAAGAAAAAAACCTCTCGAAATAACACCTGTACTAAAAAAAATATATATATATATAGATATAAGCCTTTAAAAGCTTAATTTTCGTTAGAAGACGCCAAGGGCACAGGAGGTGTCAGGGGCACCTGTGGGTACTTTTCGGCCTTCGAAGGACAATTCTTCTTGCTTAAGAAGTTCGAAAGACGACAGCGGGCTTTGCCGATCCGGTCGTCATAGGGCACAGTAGTCTTGCGCTTCTTCACATAGTGAGATGAGCCAACTGTGGAAATAAAAGAGACAATCTCATCAAACACAGGAAATTCGAAATATTTTTGGAATTATATTTTGAACTACTGTCTCAAATGGACAGAACGGTTTTTTCACTGAATGAAATAAGAGGAACAAAAAACAAAATGTCTAAACATAGCAGGGTATCTATGGAGGCTTGTCGAAATTATAGAGAGCTTCACTATTAGCCTAGAGATTATTTTCTGGATACAGGATTGTAGATTCTAAGCGACTTGAAAAATCTCCATTATATTGAATGCATTTCCAGATAACCCCCGATATTTCCCAATTTTCGAAACCCGAATCGGTTTTATGAAACTCAGGTTAATCCTGAGTTTAACCTGAGTTTCAGAAAGTTAATCAGGTTAACTTTCTTCTAAAAGCCCGCCTAGCTGGGAGGTGAAAAACAGTTAGAGAACTGCCATTTATGATACAGTGCGGATCCACTTTAGAAGTACCTTATGGTCCCCGAAAAAAAAAAAAAACATTAAGAAACAAGGAACCTAATTATGGTCATATTTGACTATTTTTTGAGCATCTGCTTTTCTAGCGTCAGGGTTTGAGAGCGATAAAGTAAACAAATAGAGTCTGAAAACTCGAAACAACGAGATCAGCACCTAGTTGACGCGCACCCCGAGTAGTGGCACAAGCGTCCCACCATTGGAGGGGTATCATATATAAAAAAAATCCTTATTTTTGCTTGAATTTTTTCATTTATTTCGCTCATAACTTTCGAAACAATGTGCATTTTTCTTGAAGAAAAAAAGATGGTTTCTTCGTGTTACCATTTTGTCCCATGGGAAGCCTCGACGCAAGTTTCAGACCAATCATAGCATCGTTGGAGAGGCCTTGTAAAGGAAAGGGATACTGAACCGAAATGTTTATTTCACAGAAAGTTCATCGGACCGTTCACTGGGAAGATGCAAACCCCAAGACATCACTTTTACAATATCCTGAACGAATGGCTGTACTTTTGGAAAAGAACGATGGAATTGAGTGAGGCTGACAGGCTGTCTGTCGTCACGTCACAGAGCTCCTCGAAGCTTGCCTGGGGACGGAGGACAAGGCCGAGGAGCCCGATAACGTAATGTCAGCTTCGCTTAATTGCGTTTTTTTTTTTTTTTTTGCCTAAAATACAGCCATCTGTTCAACATATCGATCTATATTGTTATAAAAGTGGTGTTTTAGGGTTGGTAGCTTCTAATTGAGCGATCCCCCTGTCTTCTTAGCTGAAATTCAGATTTCAGTTCAGTATCCCTTTCAGCACACTACATAATGTGCTCTTTCATTATTGGGCACACAGTGCTACCTTCTTTCCCGGAATCACTCTCTTGGCGGCTTCAAGACAGTAAACATGTCAGCCAATAGACAAAGCTGAAAGAGTTCAAAATCAGCTGAGGTTGTCAGAATTTAAACAAAGGATACTTTTTTTGGCAGCCCTGCTGCAAAGACTGAGGTATATACTGTAAACGACTTAATTTTTCCGAGGACCTAATTTTCGCGAATCACCTACAATTCGCGAAATATATGTCCCGCGAATAATTCCGGTAAAATGTTATCACATTGGAATCTATATTGAGATCCCACCGCGTCGCAAAAATTAGAACAAGCGAATTATTCCAAAACTTTAGCTTTTGCCAAAATCACGAAATATTGAGCCCGCCAAAAATAAGCCGTTTACAATATGCCCTCAGAGATGATGTCTGAAAATAATATTTCAATATTTTATTAGCATTCTAGTCACTGAAATAAAACTTCTTAAAAGAAGAAAATGGAGTGGAGCCGACTTTTTTTGTAACCGCGAAAAACGCCAAAGAAATTCCCTTTGCAGAACGGCTCTTAAAATGGCTGCGACAGGGGCAGCGCAAAGGATAATTCTAAAGGACACCACCCCACAGAGCGGTGCTGCCACGCGCCACCGCAGAAGCGCACAGCTACCACTCCCCAGAACCCGGCCGGCTGGTGTCTGCAGAGGTTGCCCGGCTGGTCTCTGGCAGGGGGCCAGCCGAGCAGCCTTTGCAGATGGGCTGTAACAAAAAGCCCTATCGGTGGCACGTGTTCCCCCATTGCTAGTAGAAGCTAGAAAAAAGCCCCCAAGCAGGTTATGCTATCCTATCTACATAAAGAAGAAAGCTGCAATGTCACCATTGCAACATTGTCTATCATTCTTCACGTTTCCTTGCAGTCATCTTTTGTCTCTTAATAACATGAAAACAATAGGGAGTTTTAGAATAGCGCACGCTAAAGCTTTGCGTGCGCAAAGAATAGCGTCGTCGCCACTGCTCATGCTCCGAACGCAAACCAGGTTTCGCGCTTTGCGTGCGCAATTTTAGCGTGCGCTATTTCTCGGAAATAGCGTGCGTACGCAAAGAGTCTTTGCGCTTCTCCAAGGGGGATTCGTGATGAGAAGTTGGCTTAAGCCAAGACGAGCAGAGTTAAAAAAAAATGGCGGCTTCCATGGATGATGTCGGCGGCTGCTTTGGCGGCGTCGTGAGTGCGACGTCGGCGGCATTCTCGCGACTGCAATTTTCAATACGGGACGACAATGTACTCGGTTTGGCAGCGATCACCGGCAACTTGATGCTTGCGACGCGCGAACATTTCACGGCGAAGGAACGATGTGCGAAGGTCAGTACACGAGACCTCTCTTGCCGAGGCGACGCAAGCGGACACGACCGGTCAACCGCTCGCGTCGCGTTCTCATGTTTAAACATATTAAAATGCTACTCTGGACCAAAAAACTTGTTTTCTTCTGAAGTTACATCACTTCGTGTGTGAAATCAAAATTTTTACTGTATCTTGGTGGCGTCGCAAGCGCGAGATGCTTGGGCTTTTGCGTCACGGCGGAGAAACGCTATTCTAAAACTTTCTCGCGTCACGTGCGCTAATCTTGGTGGCAGTCCAGTGGGGTGCTAACGACACGTCTAACGGCGATTCTTCTGCATTTTCTAGCACCCGGGATGAACGCTGCAGGAATACAACGGGACGACGCAGGCATTGCGTGGCATCGAAAGCTTTGAGGCTACAAGCATTCCGTGGCGTCGAGAGCTTTATAAGTTGCTCATCATCGGTGACGAAAACGACCGAGGCAAGGCGACAACCGCTTTTTGCGCTCCTCATCGATATAAGTTATCGACCTTCAAGGGGCTACGAAAGTCGGCTCATCGCACGGTGAAGCTATTATCGCTCTATCGGACAATCCGCCGTCGATAAGCTGCTAGGTGGCTGATTGGAGCATGTGACGGTTCTCTTGTTGCTGTGTTTTTCGGACTGGTCTTCAAAAGCCAGCGGCAGACGACGGTGTGGCGCAGTCCAGCGGGGTGCTAACGACACGTCTAACGGCGATTCTTCTGCATTTTCTAGGTAAGAATTTGCTTGATTTTTTTTTGTTTTCATTTGTTTCACGCCTCGCTGGACTGCCTCATTACCCGAAATGTCGACTGTTTATTGCGTTACCTGTTTGAAGTCGATTCCAGACGTTAGCCAGAGTTTGAAGTGTGCTGAGTGCGGAAAGAGTTACCATGTGGGGAAATGCGCGGGGGTTACAAAGACTGTACTTAAAACATGGTCTAGCGAAGAACGGAACATCTGGCTATGCGTAACTTGCGATTCCCGCAAATGTCGGCAGGCAGCACTTTCGGCGACGTACTCTCAGGATATTGGTCAACGTAGCACAAGCGAAAGCTCGGAAGAACCAAATGTAGCACTTTTGATGAAGCATATTCTGGACATGAGTACTAAGCTGACACAAGTGCTAGATCGAATGAATAATTTCGAGAAGTCAATGGAGGAACAGGCAGGAAAACATGACGCAATAATGGTGAAGTTAACTAACCAAGAAAAAACAGTGCAAGGAATAGAACATTCTTTAGAAATAATGGGAAAGGACTATCATGACCTTCTGGAGAAGGTTACCTTGCAGGAAAGAGAGTTAAAAGAGCTAAAGAAAAAATCCGCAGAACTTGAAAGACAAGTAACAAAAAAAGACACGGAGATCGAAGAGCTCAAGACCGCCATAGATGCTGTTGAACAATACTCCAGAAGGAATAATGTGGAAATTCATGGTATCACCAAAAAAGACAACGAAAATCTTGTGGAAGTTATCCAGCACTTATCTGGTAAGCTGCAGCTGCCGTGTCCGGCACCTGAAAGCATGGAAGCGGTCCACAGATTGGGCCAAAAAGAGGGTAAAATAGCACCCATCATTGTTCGTTTCAAAGACAAGGCGGTTAGGGACCTCTGGCTCTCTAAAAGAAGAGTGCTTAAAAATGAACAGGTGTTCATTAATGAAAATCTAACGAAGTATCTAAGACAACTTTTGTGGAAAACTAGGCAGTATGCAAAAGAGAAGGAGTACAAGTTTGTATGGGTTAGTAATGGAAAAGTTTTTGTCCGGGAAAAAGAAGGCTCGGCTGTGATTCGTGTAGAAAATGAACATGACTTGTCTAAATTACGTTAAAAATGGCGAATTCATATTCAGCATTTTATGACTGGGACCTTAGTACCCAGAGCAGGTTGGCAGATATAGACGGTGGAAGGATGGAACTTAACCTGTTGCACATAAATGTTAGAAGCATACAAAAGCACTGGGACCAATTAAATGTATATTTGCAAAATAGACTAGCAGGCTTGGATATATTAATTTTAACAGAAGTAAATATTGACTCAACAATGGTAAGTTCTTTCAATTTGACCGGGTTTCAATTGTTTTCGGAGTGCAGGGAAGGAAGAAGAGGTGGTGGTATATTAGTCTTTATAAAAGGTTCCTGGATGTCCGATCAACTGGCAGTTTCTTGTAACCACGCGGAGGTTTTGGTACTTCGTGTGTCAAATCGGGAGTTATCTTTTGTAATCTGTGCAGTATATAGACCGCCCAGTGCACACATACCTTTCTTTCTCGATGAATTAGCTGAAATCTTTAAACAATTCAATAACAACAAATACTTGGTTGTTGCTGGCGATCTGAACATAGATGTAATGAATGCTGCTAAGTACGGTGTATCTGATTATCTGAATTTACTAGCAGGTTTTGGATTAGAAAATATAATTACAGATTATACTAGGGAAGAATACTTGGGATCCCGCATAACAAAGTCGTGTATTGACCATATTATTGTTAGAGGGGGTGATCTTAAAATGCTTTCTGGTGTAATTAGACAAAAAGTTGCTGATCATTATTTTATATCTCTGGCGATAATAGGGGTGAGTACTGAGGAAACCGATCGTGTAGTATACAGGCGCATTCTTGATAATAATAAGATTGACAAAATGATACGAGAATATAACTGGGCCTCCCTCCTTGATTTTGATCACATTACTGCTTACCAGATGCTTGCGAATAATTTGAGGTCGATATATGAAAAGTGTTGAAAAACTGTAAAAATAAGACAAAGAAATCCACAAAATGCCTGGATAAACGACGAAATATTGACACTATGCCGTGAAAAAGATAGGTTGTGGAACATTTGTAAAGCAAGACCACATGATCATATAATTAAAGGAGAGTTTAAAAAACTACGTAATAAGGTAACTGCCAAAATAAGACTGGCAAAAAAATATCATTACACATCTAAATTTCAACAATGCGAGGGAAATCCGAAGAAAACTTGGGATTGGATAAAGGAAATTACGGGAAGTAAAGGGAAACAAAATATAGATGAAACAATTAAAAAAGCGTTTGGCAGTAATAATATCAGTTCTTTATGTAACCAATTTAACGATTCTTTTGTTAAAAGGATTGTGGATCTGAGAAAATTACTACAAAATCAAGAAGAAGAATCAAATAGCTACGAGAATAGTGTGCACTCAGCTTATTTGCCTCAGATGACAGAGGTAGACTTTAGATGCATAATAAACAACATGAAAGCGTCCAAACCTACGGGGAATGACTCCATTCGATTAAGGGACATTCAGAATAATTTTGAGGTATTAAAAGACGTTATAATAAAAATAGTAAACGAATCACTCTCGTCAGGGAAAGTTCCTATTGAATTAAAAACAGCTGTTGTTAGACCATTATATAAAAATGGCAGTAAAAACGAAATATGAATTATAGACCCATTTCAATATTGCCAATCATAGCGCAAATTATGGAAAAATTTGTCTTTAACACAATGACATCGTATTGCGAGAAGTTCTGTTTAATAAACGAGTCTCAGTATGGATTCCGTAAAAATAGAAGCACTGAACTTTTGCTGGAAGATCTTTTAGATTATGTAAACTACAGTCTCGATAGGAATCAATTTGTTTTAGCCCTATTTTTAGATTTAACTAAAGCTTTCGAAACTATTGATCATGAGCGACTATTAATAAAACTAAGGGATATGGGTTTTAGAGGTCCTTTTAACGCGTTCTTGAGAGACTATATTACAGACAGATATCAGTTGGTCAAAATTGACAAGTTTAAAAGTAGATTAACATCACTTAACTCGGGAGTACCTCAGGGGTCGGTACTGGGACCCCTTTTATTTAATGTTTATGTTAACCAAATTGGAACTCTACCGTGTACATCCCGTCTGTATCAGTATGCAGACGATACCGCCTTGATATTAGGGCACAGTGATGAACAAAGTGCATTGTCCATTTTTCAGAAAGATATTGAAATAATAATGGGCTGGTTTTCTGTTAATCATATTTTTGTTAATCCCAGTAAGACAAAACTAATATGTTTTCGTAGTCCGTATAAACATTTACATCTTAGCACTCCGTTATTTCTTCATTCACAAAACTGCACACGGTGCAGTTGTGTAGCATTAGATTATGTTACAACAACTAAATATTTAGGATTACATCTCGACCAACATCTCCTATGGAATGAGCATGTAGAATATCTCATCAAAAGAATGCGTGTTGTCTCGGTTTATTTGTATAAGATGCGTAGTGTAGCGACATTGTCATTACGAAGGAGGGTGTATGGTGCACTGGGTGAGTCTATTCTCCGATATGGGATTTCTTTATATGGAGTGTGTTCTAATTATAAAAAAGAAAAACTTGACAAAATACTACATAAAATTGCAATTAATATTACCTATGGAACACCCTACTCTGAGTTGGAAATTAATAGGAAAATGAATGTCTTAAATTTGTTATCCATAGAGAAACTACATTGTTATGTTATTTTAGTAAAGCACTATTATAAAAGCAACTTTAAAATCGTATTAGAAAAAGAACGAACACTTAGGCGCAAAAAACGTTTTGTTATTCCTAAGATTTATACAAACTATGGAAAAAAAACACCGGCATATTACGTCCCATTTTATTTTAATAGGCTTCCAGACACCTATTATAACATGAAGTCGCTGAAACAAGTCAAATATGATCTAAAAGAGTGGTGTTTGAATTTTGAAATGTAATTTGGCTTTATTGCTTTAGCAGTCCACTGAGTTTTGTCTCTTTTCTTCTTGTCTGATTTTTATTCATTTATTTATGTATTTATTTTATGTGTGCCAGTAATGCACACAATAGGAGGATTTCAGTGTAGCAGCCCGCTGGACGCCAGGTCCCGCAGACAAGCACACCAGTGCTTTTGCGGGCCTGCATATGTATTATGTTTATGATGTGAATAAAATTTCTTATTATTATTATTATTATTATTATTATTATTAATACAAGCGCTAAATTTAGCGCTAGCGTGCGCTAAAATTGCGTACGTTATTCTAAAACTCCCTCAAACTCTAAAACTCAAATAGTAAAGCAATCTATTCTCCCAATACCGCTAAAAACAAGACAAATGCAGACTATACGTTGTGTCACCTTAGCCTGGACTATTGTTGGCCGTGCCTGTTAAAGAGCGCGAGCAATATGCTTCGGATCACATGTCGGCGGCTCTACAAGTGCTCATGCAGCGGCTGCTCCAGTCAAGGCTACCCACATGCGCTTACACAGCCGTTGCAGTTAGTTCATGCGGTGGCAAGACAAGGTATAGTGCCATTTACACATCCAAGAGAGCAAAACCCTCAATATGTCAGATCCGAGTGATCTATAAAGCCTATATAATGATCAATGCCAAACCTGCCAATTGCTGCATAGTTTGGAGCCGGGAAGGGACATGCAGCATGGCACGCACTTTTGATTGCATCCATTTCGGCTGGTGTGATGGGCTTTTTTTTCACGGCGCCATACTTTAGGTTGCGCCTGGAGGGCTGGCCCGTTACGCTCCTGTTGGCCAGGTCCTCGTCCTTGTAGAGACACCAAGCCAACAGAGTGCAGCAGCGAAAGTCCGACTTCGCTTCATCCATGGCCCAGTTGAACTTTTCTTCGGATAGAGAAATCCCACCTCCGATGTAACGTTGCAAGTGAAAACATAATCTTACACAAACAGATGCTCAAGGAAGTTTTAGTACAGGTATAGTGCCTGGACGTATTCCCCACGGGTGTGATTACCATCCTCGTCTTCCCATGCATTAAGAGTGGTCCCACGGTGGCAACAAGGGCTGTTACAGAACGTGCGCTGAACGTGCATGGGCGAGCAGCAGAAAGGAGGAAATTAAGAGCAGAGGAGGAATACCACTGCCACGAGCCAGTTTCCTGGTCACTCGGATGAGTGCCGCCATCTAGTGGTTGAACTAATGGCTTGTTCAAAATGCCCACCGTGGGACCGCCGCCTTAAGTCAAACCTGAACCCGCAAAAAAACGTCTACCAGTTCGATATAGCGAGTAAATTTATATAAAATATTTAATGAATTTGACATCAAACAAGCACGCCACATTTAGAAAAGTTTACTGTTGAAGTAGCGTCTGTACGTCATGAGGGACCAGGGGGGGGAAGGTGCCGCCGCTTCCAATGCACCCTCCTCAGAATTTACGGCGCTCGGTGGGGGCCGCCATGTTAAAACTTGAGACCAGTGTTGCTGCATCTGTAGGTCGTCTTTAAGTTAGAGCTGACGGAGAAAATCTGGCCACGGCGCAGCGCCGATGTACGCTGGAAGCTAGAGCCGGTTTGCTTTCGTTGTTTTTGTTTGGTCGGAGAAAATCTTGCAACAACGCACGTTCAAGTTTCAACATGGCGCCGGTATTGCTTCGGCGCTTCGGTTTGATCACGTTTGACGCGGTTTGCCAGCACATGTAGCGAAGACGTGACCGGAGAAGTGCCCCTGTGATGGTCCCGGAAGACGGAAAGTATCATTCGTAATCGCCGTGCGTGCTTTGAAAGCGAAAGGAGTCACAGGGTCCACGAGTGCGCAACCACAAGCCAAGGTTCACGACAGCGCTCCGTTGACTTCGGCGATCTTGTTCTGTTTGGTGCATAGAGATAGGCTTGGTGCAACACGGCGATGCGACAAAGAGTTGAAACGTTCGTGGTGTGTCGTGCGGTGCTTGGAGGTAGAATCCCATACTAACACGAAGCGCAAATTGGTTATTGTGGCGTTGAAATTCAACGGGTTCAGTTCCGTCGTCGTCAGCTGATCCGGTCCAACTGGTCCGGGAGGACGCAGCGAGCGCTTTTAAAAGTAAATCTTCCTTCGTTCCGTTTCAAAATGTGGAAGATTCTCGACGCACACGGTAAGTAAAAAGCTGCGGGCGTTTTCAACAAAATTACGTCGTTTTAATTGAACAATGGACTACGGATTCTTGACCTAGACCTGCCGTTTTTATGCTTCGTGTTGGCGTTTGCACAGCGACGCACACCGCCCGAGTAGATGATTCGGTCCTGCAAACTACCGGTCATATATATATATATATATACAGAATTTCAGAGAAACATAAGTCACCACTGATATTTCTTGTAAATCTCGTGTGAATTTGTTGCGCTCGTGATGCGGTGTGAATAAATTGGGGCAACGTTTCCTACCTGCCTACGGATGCATGAACTGAGACCATTTTTTACGTAGTGAACATAGCGTTTTTTCTTTATTTTGGAAAGAGGTGTTGGTGAATTTATTATGGTACAATCACTTGAGAGTTCAGAAATTGGAGAGAGCGAGCATGCTTTCCCAACTTCGTCACTTTTCTCTCTGGCATTGCCCCTAGTTTCAAGTTGCAGTTTCACTAGACATACCTACTAGCAGGTACAAACTGCTCTAAAGCAGGTAAAAGACTGGTAAGTCAGGGCGGTGCGGACTCCGTGTTTCGCGCTTTTCGCAAGGTGACTGGGTAAGTGCTTTTGCGAGGTATGCGGAATACGCAAACGATTTTGTTATGCCCGTCGGTTGCGCCTCTCCAGCAAAACGAATAAGATGATCTACAAAGGCGCAATCACAAGCCAATATTTACGATAACAGTGCATTTGATTCGGTGGTACGTGTAGTTGTATTTTACCCTGCTTTCTGCAACAGCGTTTCATGACGAAGAGCTGGCACGTTCGCGGTTTGTGCTGGGCTACGTGTTGACCCAGGGGCGGATCCAGAACTCCGTTTTTTTTTTCTTTTTTGGAGGGGGGGAGGTGAATCTAAACTCTTAAGCAAGATAAACAGGACTCCGGTTGCGCCTTTTGTTTTAACCGCCGCAGAACCACACTGCGCCGACGGCCCCTAGATGTGCGCCGCTGCGCCGACTTTTGGTTCTAACTTCTAAGCCGTGCTTTGAAACCGCCGCCGCGGACTTCAGTCTAAGCGACGGAGTGGTTCTCCAAGTGTGTGCGCCTGCTAGGGTGCGGCCTACCCTATTTCGAACCCTCGTCCTTGAGTACCGAGCTTCTTACCACCTGGCAGGACGGTAGTTGGTTTAGTTCGGGGGATCCACCCATGTCAAATCGTCCTCCAAGAAGGGGGCGGGGGGGGGGGGGGGTCGATTGTTTGGAGGGTAGGCGGCCGCCCCCGTCGCCTCCCCCTTGGGTCTGCCCCTGGATTGACAGAAGCCCGCGTCGCCCGCATCGTGAGTGCACTTGGGCTGTTGTAGTGGCTCTAGGCTGTTGATGCTCAAGCCTTTCATCCGCGGCTTGCCGTCAGCTGATCCGGCTGCTCGACGGTGAGGAAGCGGCGAAAGTGACCTCTGAAGCAAATCTAAATCCTTGTTCCTCCAGTTATCCGGTGTCAAAGTGTGGAAGGTGTCCAAAGTGTACTGAGGGCGGGAACTACGAGCGTTTTGCCTTGCTTTCGTAACCGAAACCAGAACAGCGAGATAACTGCCTTGCGTACTCCAAAATGATGGAAGCAATAAGTTGCCAAAACCTGTTTTTAGGGTTTCAAGTCGAGTAAACACGACAAATATAATTAAACTTCGTTGTCTGTATGCAGGAGGACTTATATAACACAACAATACATTCTCTTTCCAAAACGAAAAAGAAAGTAAAACTTAGTCCGCCGTATATGGCAGCAACTTCTCCACTGCAAAACCTATGCTGGCAACGTAAGCGGTTTTAATATGGCAGCCTCCGCTTTGCGCCGCGTTCCCTTTCCCTCTTTCCCCCCCCTGTGAGGGACGCTCTGCACAGCTATTCAGTTGCCGCTTCGTTTTTCAAGGTCTCACCGGCTCACCCTCTCCCCGCTTCCTACGAAAAATATAATTTATTTGTTCTTCTGCGCGGTTTGCGCGAATGTCCAAAAAAAAAAAAATTTCTCTCCTTGCTGGCTTTCCCCAACGTGACGCCAGCATTGGGGGAAAGACAGCTTGAAGAGCAAAATGGCGCTTTGGCAGTTTGATCTATTGGGAGATGATGCAATTTTCGTTCAATGTAACCACATTTTTCGCTATGTATTTTATTGAAGCTACTAGTCTGTTCACAAATATTTCGATACAAGGTTTAGTTTGAATTAATCGAGTTTGTTACTGTAGCCCTATATAGAAAAACACATCACAATCACATGTTAATTTGTTGCAATAGTGTACTTATTAAGGTGCAACTGACAACAATTAGCAAGGATCCTATTTATATATCAACCCAATATAGGTCAGCCAAAATATTTGCTGCCTTAAATCTGACCACCTTCTAAATGTTAAATCGGTTGAGAAATCGGCACAGCTAGCCTGCTCTGGCCTACACTATGTTTCCCCTAAACTGCCAGTGCCTTTCGCCGAAACAGTCAAAGGCCTATCTCTGGTCGCTTGACTTCACTCCCTGCATGTGAGTCTGCAGGGGGAGGGGGGGGGGGGTTGATCATGTGGTTTAAAGTGGACAGTTGACTGGACCAATGAGTACACAGCTTCTACGGCCCGGCCCAGTCAGTGTAGGGGTAAATAGAGTAATGGCGACGCGAAATCAACGGCACCTCGCGGCTAGGACACAATACTGTCAGGGTGGGTTCATTCGACAGTTTATATAAGCTAAGCAAATATTCACAGCACCTGGCGGTCTAAACGGAAAGCCGTGAAAGTAGATTCAAAAACGCCTTACGGAAATTTCCAGTAACTCTGGCCACCTCCAGGTTGACCACATAATATGGTGACAGAGGTGATCTATACCAACATTTGACGAACATCAGTCTTCACTGAATATAATAAATCAGGCCACATAAGTTTAGGCATATGCCTATAAATGCTTAAATCTGTTGCTTCAATGTTTCCTTGCCTTATTTGGAATTTCGTTTCGAAATTGCCGTTTAACCTGCATCATGCCAATGCATGTGAATTCGGCACTTTGGTTTACTTTCTCAGGATTCCCCCAGCTCTTTTTACTACCTTATTGTTTACCTAAAGGCACTGAGTTTTTTTTTATTGTAATGCACACAAAATTAACAGCGGATATAAATGATGATCGCCCCTGCCTGCTTGCTTTATTAGGTCTTCCTAAAACTAGCAAAAGGGTTTTATAACACCCTTTGGAATAGACGGCAGAACAAGGTCTGTCATGACATCTGTAAAGTTTAAACATGATCGGGGGAAACTGGAGAACACTGCCGCATGATTGAAGCACTGCTCACAGAAAGATTTTGGTTTCTGGTCACAAAACTTCAAACAATGCATAGTGAAGTGTCTGGAAAAGGCCAGCAGTTCGTGATATTTTATATAAAAAACTGTTTGCAGCACCGAAGTTTTTTTTTTTTTTTTTTTTTTTTACGGTAAGTCATTGTTTGACTTCTAGTACAGTGGTTCCCGAAGAAGGGGTCTGCATACCCCCTAATTGTTAGTCAAGCTAAGCAATGAAACTTTTTCTCTAATAGACACAACAAATATCACACTTTGTGCGATGTTTCTTAATATCACTATTATAAAGCAAGTCGATTTCATGATAGAATTGGACGGTTGTTTCGGATAGAGGTCTACCTTTCTTAGCACTGGTTTCTGAAGTTAGGGATCTATCTATGATCATGAGAAAAAGAATTGTACTCCATCCAGTTGACTACGAGAAGGCGCTTCTCCCTGGCCTCCGCTTCTCCGCGAACAGCGGTGCAATTTGGAAAGCTGTGCGCCGCAGCACTAGTGCAAAACGG